TCTCTCTCTCTCTCTCTCTCTCTCTGTGTGTGTGTGTGTGTGTGTGTGTGTGTGTGTGTTGTCATGTTCGCTATACACACCTCCACAAAAAAAAGCATGACTGTGCCGAACAGACTGTTTCGTCGGACTTTCACCGACTCATCAGGAAGGAGGTTGAACCTGGACCGACAATCTGCGCAGGATGCATTTGACTGACGGATAAGGACTTACCACTCCGCCCAGAGTTAACGATACCCCTGAAAGAAAAAAGTGGTCAACTTTATTCACACCAACCCACAATCCTAGCAGACTCTCGATCCCAACCCGTGACAAGAATGGCGGTAAACCTGAGAAACTAGTGTGACACAGCCATAAAACCCTGTGTGCATGTGTGTTTGTGTGTGTGTGTGTGTGTGTAAGGGCGTGTCACGCACAAGGTGTCACGATGCGGGATGAGACGGAACCCATATCATCAGAAGAAACTCCAAAATAATATATCGGCGCACCCCCGTTAAAACAGCTCGGGCGGACACGGGATTCCATTCGACCACTATCCCGAAACAGGAGCTTTAAGGAATCATCCAAGGGTGACACACCAGTATATGCACACCGCGTCGCCTGATAAGTGGGAGCTCAAAGAGGGTTGCGCTATGTAGTCCAGTCGTTTGGTAAAGGGTAAAAGGCATGAAAAACAAAAAAGATGGAATCGAGGAAAAAATCAGAGGAGAGAGACGAAAAGAAACTCAGTGTTCAATCATTCGTGGGTACATAACATCTCATCCATTCCGAAATTCAAATATGTGTATTGGTACGAAGAGAGGGAGACCAGGCGAGGGTGGGAAATCCCCGATAGGAAGAGAGACACAAGGTTGGAAACCGAACAGTAATAATGCCTCATAATGTATTACCCCAACCCAAGGGAGACAAAATGCAGCGAACACCATACCAGATGTTTGATTACAAGTGTGCTATCGAACCCAAATCCGCACGCAGAATTAGTACTCTTCCGACAAGCACAACTGTAATACGTACTTGTCGAGGGGGCAGTCTGAACACAACGTGAGGACAGGGTGCACCTAAATATTCTCTCGGATAAAGCATATTGAAGTCCACGGGATAATGCCAGCTCGAGCATGGGAGCCGCTTTCACTAGCGCCCCCAGTTGTTGTCAAGAACTGCGTATTATCGCTGGGTTATGAATGAGATACCAGCCTCCCGAAGCATTATACTAAGCTATGATGCAAGGTACCTCAGGACAGCAAACAGAAAGGCAGAGACACATATAGTTTGAAATCAAGTCGTAATAATGAATCATAAAGTATTACCCCAATCAGTCGAGGGAGACAGAGTTCCACAAAAAAAATACTGGATGCTCAACCGAGCACAAATCCGCATGCAGCATTAGTATGCCACCAACAAGCACAACCATGATCGTACTTGTCCAGAGGGCAGACTGATTACTACATGAAGGCCGTGATCACCCCTGCGCACACTGAAGTCCCTGAGATAATAACAGCCCCTGCATTCTCTCCAATAGCGCACACTGGATGCTCAACCGAGCACAAATCCGCATGCAGCATTAGTATGCCACCGACAAGCACAACCATGATCGTACTTGTCCAGAGGGCAGACTGATTACTACATGAAGGCCGTGATCACCCCTGCATTCTATCCAATAGCGCACAGTGAAGTCCCTGAGATAATACCAGTTCGAGCATGGGTGCAACTTTTACAGGTGCCCCCACACGATGTCAAGAACTAAGTATAGCGCTCGGGTGCTAAAGAGACAGCAGCCACCCGTAGCATTGTACTAAGCAAATGAAGCAAAGTATCCCATAACAGCAATCAGAAAGGTTTATTGAAGAATATTTTTCATTCGTCATGACATCGAAGCTTATACATCCATATATCGATGCTACAAAGCGCACAACCACTATTTATTCATGCATCTGTATCGAAGAAGGCATTCATAAGGACTATTTCACACAAGAAAAACAGAGGGGGGGGGGGGGAGGAAGGGGGGAGAGGAAAAGAAGAACGAAAAAAAAAGGGGGAAAAAAGGGGGAAGAAAAAGTCTGAAAAACGAAAAGAGAAAAGAACGGAAAAAGAAACAAAGGCAATAGACAACTTTGATGTGAGTGAGAGATGCAAAACACAAACTATCAAAGCATATTCCCACTCAAAAGAACAGTGTCTTTTCAGGCTTCGAACCGACGAATCATTACTCCACTTAGTCGAACATAAGCAAGAGCGAGAGCACCCAACACCATCACTAAAAAGCGAGCATAACTCGACTGCATTCCCAAAGGCGGATCCACGTAATATGGGATCTCATCCTCGACAACCTTTTTTTTTTTTTTTTTTTTCATCCTCGACAACCATAGCAGGGAGGGTAGTGGCAATCCCTGAACCCCTTTTCTGCCGCTGGCCACAAATTCACGGCTTCATCAGAGGGGTAACGCCTGCATTTACTGTGTGTGCTTGCGTAGCGTAATAGGCGAGGAGGGCGGCATGGTCTGGAGCTGATATAAGAGCACAAGAAAAGACAGAAAGGTGAGCAACGCAATGAAAGCTAGTAGTACGAACGCAGAAATCTCGCTGGCAACCTCAGTCCTTCCTGCCATCTCCTCCTGTTGCATCACAATACTGAGCAGTGCAAGCGCCCTGCAGAGCAACCAGCGAATTATTGCGCAAGGATACAGGTAGAAAGTACTCGTGCCCTTGAATGCGCCAAACAAGTGCAAAGCAGCTGGCTAGCGAGAATCGAAAGTGCCCAGAAAGCAAGCGAGCAAGACCGTGCACGAAGGTCGGTTAACCAAGTCATCCGAATGATTATACCGCTTCTTCGTCGGCGCCGATGATCCGATCCACCAAGGCAGGATCGACTTGGTAGTCCATGGCCGCCACCACTAGTCACTGCCGCCCGTCTTGACGAAGCTTGATGGCAACCCCATGACCCCGAGCATACGAGGCTGGAGCAAACACCCGCAGGTAATCTCAACGGAAACCTCCAAAGCGATACACATCCGCAATGAATGAATAGGCGCAGACCCTACCACCTGCCTGCCTCTAAATAGTCCTATCAGTTTCGTCAACATCCGAGTCACTTTTTTTTTGGCGCGAGATAACAAAAAACAAGCGCAGTATTCTGGATACGTAAAACCGATGAAACGAAAACGTAGCCTCATTACCACCACACAAATGACCCTGATCCCAACCCATAACCCGCCAACCACGTCACCACAGACCCGAACACACCAGCCAACCAACCCCGCAACCTAAACCTACAAATACCTCACACATTCTCTTCTCATGCCAGCAAAAGCAGTACCTGTTCCACCCCACAAATAGTTCCCAAAACGACACTACCATCCAGTTAACGCGTGAACAACTTACGATACGGGAAACAGGCCATAAGAAAATAGTTCAAGCAAAGCTCTAGCAGGCCAGCTAAATTAGCTATGATTTAGGCTTTAGGGCTAGATAGATCTTGCAGATGAGGAAAGATACAAAAGGGAGGATAGATTTTAATCTCATCCATAGGCATTAGCAACTAAACCTGAGAGGGTTTAGGGTTTATCAAGTTCTAGTAAGGAGGATCATGTCTACTGTGAATCTGGCAGTCAACGAGCTGAGAGAAACAGGTTAGACGAGGCCAGCACCAGTACACCACACATTGTCCCATGGGTGTCAGCACGAAACCCGCACCACTTCGGAGGCCACCAATTTTTTTTTTCAACAGCGCCCCACGCCGCGCGGCCCCTCCGAGTTTTACTTGTGGCGACAAAAACTTTCTGCAAGGCTGGGGCCATGTACTTGCGGTTTAAGCAAGACTACAGGGACCACATTTCCCGGGTCGTTTCCACGTCTTAGAGTCAAAATAAAAGAATCAGGCTAACGCAGGCGGGGGTGAGGGGAGGTGCATCCTTCTTGCGAGAAGTAATCCATGCCGTCCATCGGGCTTTCCTACCATAAAGGGGAAGAGCGTGAGTGAGTCTTTTATGTACTTCCTTTTGACTTGCCGGCGGAATAGGAACCGGACTGATGCTCCCCAGAATGGAAAAGGAGTCAGAACCATAAGGTTCTGTTAGGAAAAAAAAAAAAAAAAAAAACTCATGTTAACCCCATGCTTAGCGAAAGCCCTTCTTCTCCGCGAAATAATTCCCTTGCACCCATGTTGCATCCCCAACAAACCCAGGCAGGGTTAAACTCCCTAGTAAAGCAGCGCAAACTTAACCCAAAATGAATCTTTAAAATATAATAACCAAAAGTAAGTCCAAGAAGCCCAAACTTAACTCAAAATGAATCTTTAAAAAAGAACCAAAAGTAAGTCCAAGTTTTCCACGTACGGTGTATAGGGTTTACTTACTCATCTTCAAAGTTCAAACTTGAGTTGTTAAACCCTAAACCCTAAACCTTAAGTTAAACCCTACCTACCTCAATATCAGCCTTCTGGAGGCATTCCTCAGCGATCTGCACCCTCTGCTCACTCCTCTGCAGCTCCTTTGTCAGTTCTACTGACTCCCTCTCCTTCTGCAAATTGGTCTCCATCAGCCGAGAAATCTCCTCGGACCGCAAATTGGCCTGAAAAAGGAGGGCAACGTAGTAATTGGCCATCGACAGACACCATTAGCAGATTAAAAATCTGACGGTGTTAATGGTTTTAGCATCACCACACAAGCAGATTAAAAATCTGACGGTGTTAACGGTTTTAACATAACCACACAAGAAAACGCACGCACACACACACACACACACACACACACACACACACACACACACACACACACACACACACACACACACACACACACACA